CTTTTGTGAAAATATCTAATCTACGCTAAAAATAAGTTAATATACACAATAATAGCTTTAAAGTGTAATATCTGAAAGCACGATTTCTACGAGAAAGAGCTGAGCGAGTCGCTAGACGAGCGTTACTTGTTCCTTCAGTTTGTCATTGTGATCGCCATTGAAATAAAAGAAATATGCTGCAGCTGAAATGAAATAACACATTCATTTCCATTTCTATATTCCGTTACAACGAGTAGCGGACAGATTTGTTTTGAAAACTTTTATAACTATCTCGCGTTTTCCCCTTATGTTCTTATACCAGAAGGTGCCGTTTTTCACGCGCTCTCAGAATCTATCTTCGTTTTTGTGAAGCATTTTGGTAATAGTAAAACTTTGGCTCAAAGGTGTAAAAAGTGAAAAGTAAAAAATGGCCATGTATTTTTGTATTTCAATCTTTTCGATCTCACAAGTCACTCATTGGCCTATGGTCGTTTAGAGGTTTTTGTAGAGATTTTGCGCTATCGAATGGTATAAGATACTTATATGTTTGATTGATGTTGGACGAAGATATTTGTCAAATAAGAAAGACATAAAAAAAAGCACAAAATTTGAAAAGTGATTTTCGGGTGCTAAGCTTACGTCCCCCGATATCTCCGCTATTAGTAGCACATGCGATGATGATATTTTGGCTTTTGTATATACACAATATAGCCTTTCAAACGTGATATCAAAGGTCGAAATCTCAAAACCATTTCCGGACAGCTTGGCTAAAATTGATCCCTCGTGTCAAAAGACGTCTCTTAAATCGAATTTGTGCTAATTTTCAACTGTCGACCGTATTTAAAAACGTTCTAAACGTGTATTTTTCTGTTAGACGCAAGTTTTTGTGGGAAACCATTTCGGACTCAACAATGGTGAACATGTTTCTATCAATAGTAAAAGATCTACTCGCTTGCTTTTAAAATATTAAAAGAGATATACGATTTTTTTTATCAAGCACATAGTTGTTTGTCCATTATATGTGAATGTGAGTTTCTTCTTTTGTTTATTTAATGGGTTTTTCTTTCGATTGAAAATGAGAAAACTGCACCATCTTTCATAAATGTCTTTGAAATGACTGCGTCAGTTTGAGTCTTTATATTAGAACTATTGTACTTGCCGCTCTTACAATGATACCTCTGACGTACTCAAATCTTAAAATATTGTGTTCGAGAACAATTCTGAATACATGATATCATTAAAACTGCGCAAAAAATATGGGTTATGAGTACCTAAAAACGATTATCCAAAGAAAAACAATTTTATTTTGAATGTAAAAAAACTAATGTGGTTTTTTTATGAGATATGAAGCATCTGTAGCATTGTTTGTAATTGAAATCTATTGTCATTCAATTTTTGTTTAATGCGTACTAAACACCTATATAAATCATCGATTTTTCTCTTCGTCAGTACAGTAATAAATTCGTGGTAATCTCTCCCGAAAAATCATGTTGGCCATTGATTTCACTCATTGGTCATTAGTGTTATTCACGTTACATGCTTTGTTCAATGGATGCACATCCCGTAAGTACAACATGATAATGAATAGCTAATAGCTTTTTGTTTTCCTTGCTCTAAGTACAGTTATTAATTATATATATATATGAGTCACTTGCAATTTTCCAGAAGAACTGAGCTTTCAGTCGTATTTCCTGAATACCTTTTCAGATTATCAATCGACCTGTACAGTTTTTTATCTGATATTAGTCTATGATCTCCCTACTACTTTAGTGAATTTCAGCTCTCTAGCATGCATTTCACAGAGAGATGCGCTACGAAAAAAGAACCATCTTAACGCTGGGTGAGAGTGTGTGTGTATACATATGCCGTTTGGTCTATAAATGACACAGCGATAAGAGATTTAAATATTTCCGTAAGATTTCAATTATACAGACGAAATTGATGTTAGATTTTTAGAGTGTACTCGGAGTTTTTTCTTCTTACGGACAATAGGAACAAAACTTTTAAATCAGAATATTCATCTTACTAGAGAAAACCGGCTTTTCTCTAGCTCGATCAATATTCTCATTTCAAAATAGTATTTGTTTGTATCGTTAACTTGTCAAGAAAAACTTCGAATGAGCCTGCATGACTGAACCATTGTAGAAATACTTAAATTTTTATTACCATGTTATTGAAGAACCGCTACGTGTCTCATGAGCCGATCTTATGACGCATAACAATATATTTATTTATTTACAGATCTTTCGCTCACAAACAATATTCTAAAAAACAATTTGCCAATCGCACTTCCATCAATTCGCTTGCCGGCAAGCAATCACGTAGGCAAGTATAAATAGTACTTGAAAAGTTAAATGTACTCCTTTGGAAGCATTGAACGAATACATTTCGTGATAAAAAGTGCTGTTTTACAGTTTTGTGTTATGAGACTGGGTATAAAATACAGTGTTCTCCGTTGTTCTGACAATTAATGTTTATATCTTGGGATGTGTAGAATACAATTCTGCAAACGACAGTACATTTCTTTTCAACTTCTCACGACACTGTTCTACCGATGATTCGGAAAGAGCGAATCGATCATGTTAATTCTGATATGATTCATTCCGAATAAGAGTCAAACTGAGGTCAGAAAAGAAAGCTTGATTGTTTTTAAAGCACGCTTCACTAAAAGTTCTTCAAAAAATAATGTTAAATCATTATAGGCTTGCTGTCCCACACTTTCGCTTGCTCTATATAAACAACTTATGTAAGCAGTACCACTTTTCTTCATCGTAAACCATAGTACAAATTAGCTCAGTACTTGTTTTTTACTTTTTCATCAACGTTCCCATAATTAGAAATTAGAATCCATTTTAAGGTCTGCAACTTTCACTTGGTTTCCCCATACAGTACGCGACAGTACAAACGCCTACCGTGTAAAACCACAAACGAGCAGTGTTCGACTGAGAGCAAGTCTACATAATGAGCTTCACCCACACACTTATGTTATCAGGCAGCCGATACACAAATCATATTTATTGCAATAAGCATCGATTCCATTATAAATCACACCGAATGAAATCAAGATTCATTTCCGTTGAATCACCAGCTACCTATTTTCCAATACACAGTTGCAAACTTTCTTGAACACTCCACATCATTTCTCCTTCTCCTTGACAGCCATGATAATCATTCCACTGTTTTCTTCAACAAATTTCCCCAGAAACCCAATCAACGACGCATTCTTTCCCACCACAGATGAAAACCTGATCGGATCAAATATCAGCCTTTGCTAACCCCAATAACAACTTTTTCCTTTCATATTACCACTCATACATTTATAAAATATATTCCCGTTTTAGAAAGCATCACATGCAATCCTTCGTGCCAAAACAATGGAAAATGTGTTGCCAAAAATACGTGCAAATGTCCCGATGGCTACAGCGGCGCAACTTGTGAAATTGGTGAGATAGAAAAGCTTATTTGATCATTCCATGATCTTGTTACCCTTTTTCTATCATTTCATCGTTCGCAGGTTCCACTGGTTTATCCAACGACCGGTACACGTGTGATGAAAAGCCAGTGTTCCAAATCACTTTTGGTGCCGGCTCTGCACCATATTCGAAGGCAAAACCTTCTGACTTCAGTTTCAGCACAACTTATCAACAGCTGTTCGAACCCAAACCAAACGATGGACAATTTTCCATCGTTAACAGTGTTCGACCAGATCGCGAATGGGACGTATGGCTCAATGTCCCACAAGATCATACAGGTGACAAAAACGGATACATGTATTTGGTGAATGGTGACTATAACCCTGGTCAGTTTTACAATGGCACAATTAAGGATTTGACGGTCGGCCAGAGATATGAATTCTCGGTCTATCTCGCGAATCCTATGGCAGTTTCGGGTATTAAACCAAACGTTGTATTTGAAGTACGCAGTACGACAGCTGACAAGACTTTACTTGCCAGACTAACAACAGGTGACATACCAGAGGACAAGACCATCACATGGAGAAAATATGGAATTTCATTTATTGCTTCAACCACGACAGTCAATCTCCTGATGATTTCAAATGCACCTGGTGGATCAGGCAATGATATTCTGATTGATGATATCACACTACGTGGCTGTTCAGGTTCGTACATGTTTAAGCGTCTCAGAGGCAGTCGGATAGAATGGAGAGGATTCGAGAGATTATTAGTGAGATTAGTGGTATTGATGCTCGATAAACCATATATACTACCTCATCTACATATGCATGATTTTCCATTCCGTCAATGACGGTATAGGGTCCTATTTGAAATATCTCCAAGGTTATTTTGAAGCATTGTGCGACCACGGCTTTAGATAGCCCGACCTATCCCAGTGTGGCCAGAAGTCCGTAAAGCATTGGATTTGTCCTGTTGTAACTTTTCTGTCGCGGACTTGTTTTTGAATGGTTATAGTTTTTATCTCTTCACTGTCTTCCGGCTTCTAATTCGTTTATTACCGGCCAGTCCTTTACCCTCTTCAATTTGTCTAGCTGATATGATACCTTTTCCTGTCCGCTCTGTACTGTAAATGGCTTAACTGGCTTCAACCTTTTAACACCGTTTACTTCCTTAAGTTTTTCGGAGTACTTTTCTTTGCTGCTTTGCCTGTAATGAAAAAATCTGTTCATCTGTAAATAACTCTCAAAGAGGAAGGGAACTTATACCCAGAAGGATATAAATCAGTCTTCCCGACGAATTCGTTCATCAGTAATGTGAAAGTTACATTAAACAATGACACACAAGGAGGAGATTTTATACAAAAAACACCATATGATTGTGTATTTTCTAGTCGTGAGGGCTCTATATAATGTTTCCTTTTTGTTAACTTGTGGTCATTAAATTTTGTTGCGCAAAGTAGGATAAACCCTTTCATTCCTCTAGTTTATATATATGTTTTCCTTGTATGAAATAGTTTAGCAAATATCCTTCACCAGCAGAGGGACCGCGAGACTTCTAAAAAACAGAGAAGCGATATTATCATATGTTTGCAAGATATGACAGATGGTTTTCGTATACGCTGCACGCCTGCTATTTGTCCCTACTTCAGTGCATTTTTATGTACTTCGGCATTATCCTTCCTTCCTTTCTATCGGGAGAGGGTATATAAACGTGTATTCTGTATTAGAACGAGGCGATTGATGATAGGAAGAAATTAAAAAAAAAGGGATGATTTCATCGGAATACACATCTCTTCCATCAGAAATCGTCACACACATGTTTGCTCTTCTCTTCTTTTGTACCCCTCCGTGATTGGAATTCCTTTTCCAACATTAAACACCATGAAGAAGCCCCGCAATATTACCAGTTAAACGAGGCGAATAAGACAAAGGATTAAACAGAATGAAGAAGCTAAATGAGTTGAAGGATTAAAGTAACAAAAAAACAATTACGGCTGCGAATAACATGAGAAATCTAAGGCAGTATACGGAGCACAACGATCATAAGATCTTAGCAGAGCAAGGAAATGTCCACGTGGCTAACAGAGTTGAAACAGCATTTCATACCGTGCCACTATGCGGCGATTGCTTCCATTTTTTGCCTACTCCTCCGCGCAACGCGCCTCTCATCATGTACTAGTCTACTAGTTTCAGCTATCATAATGTAACAGAACATATTTGAACACTTCTCATGTTTTGTTTAGGTGACGTAAGCTGTACCACACCATGTCAAAACGGTGGCAAGTGTACTGGCAAAAACACATGTACATGCCCGGCTGGCTTCACCGGCACAACTTGCGAAATCACGCTCTGTAACAGTTATTTCAGTCTAATTTGTCATTATTAACCAATTTTCCTCTTATTTAGCAAAGATTGTCTGTAATCCTTCGTGTCAAAACAATGGAAAATGTGTTGCCCAAAATACGTGCAAATGTGCCGATGGTTACAGCGGTGCAACTTGTGAAATCGGTGAGATAGAAAAGCCTATTTCATCTTTCCCTGATCTTATTATCCCTTTTCCGTCATTTCATCTTTCGCAGGTTCCAGTGGTTTATCGAACGACCGTTACACGTGTGAAGAAAAGCCAGTGTTCCAAATCACATTTGGTGCCGGCTCTGCTGCATATTCGAAGGCGAAACCTTCTGACTTCAGTTTCAGCACAACTTATCAACAACTCTTCGAACCCAAACCAAACGATGGACAATTTTCAATTGTTAACAGTGTTCGACCAGATCGCGAATGGGACGTATGGCTCAATGTCCCTCAAGATCATACAGGTGACAAAAACGGATACATGTATTTGGTGAATGGTGACTATAACCCTGGTCAGTTTTACAATGGCACAATTAAGGATTTGACGGTCGGCCAGAGATATGAATTCTCGGTCTATCTCGCGAATCCTATGGCAGTTTCGGGTATTAAACCAAACGTTGTATTTGAAGTACGCAGTACGACAGCTGACAAGACTTTACTTGCCAGACTAACAACAGGTGACATACCAGAGGACAAGACCATCACATGGAGAAAATATGGAATTTCATTTATTGCTTCAACCACGACAGTCAATCTCCTGATGATTTCAAATGCACCTGGTGGATCAGGCAATGATATTCTGATTGATGATATCACACTACGTGGCTGTTCAGGTTCGTACATGTTTAAGCGTCTCAGAGGCAATCGGATAGAATCGAGAGGATTCGAGAGATTATTAGTGAGAAGATTAGTATCGATAATCGAAAGAATCGAATAATTTGGGTGGTTTTCATGATGTCCCGTAGGATGAGCGTCGGTTGGTACGAACCATTTGATGGGATTGGTTTTTTGGGATGCGTGTTGATTGTGCGTAAGATGGAGGACCCTTTGTGCGCTGCGTCGACACCATTCAGCTACGTCATCAGACCAGTCTGTGTATGGACGTCGTGCTATTGATTTTTCATCGGCTCTTCGAAATAGCAGATGTGCTATCAATCTAGTTTTCTTCACTGTGTAGATGGAGAGAAAAACCATAGGTTCTTTTTTACACAGTAGGGATCATCGTTTTCTTTCGTGATATTCTTTTTTGAACATATTCATTTGGTTTCGTGTTTTGCCAGGTAGTTCTTAGATTCCATCTCAAGCATTTCATTGCAAATACGAAGCAATAGGTATTTCGTGCAGGCTTTTACCGAAGTCCGTGTTTCTCAAGCATATAATAGGACATTGAAGACCCACGCGTTTAGCATTTCTAATTAATTTTTTTATATTCAGTTTTTTCGTTATTCCAAATGTTTCCTTAAAAGGGTGCGACCTCTGCACCTTTTCCTATTCGTGTTTAAATTTTCTCTGAGCAGTTATTTTCGCAAATGATGAAGGAGTGAAGGAATTCAGCTTTATGCACATTTTATATGGTCTGACCTGCAATTCTTATTTCCTTTTTAATGTTTCTATGTCCAGAAACCATAGTTCTAGTTTTTTTTGGGTTTATCATTAGTCCACAGTGTTCCGCTGCTGTTTACGTTAGCTCAACTTGGTGTTGAGGTGAGCTGGGATCTTCATCTACGCGATCAATATCATCTGCGAACCTTAGGTTTTTTATTAGTGGTCCGCTGACATTGGTTCTGCAGGTGTTTGATCTTACCTGATCCATTACTTTTTCAAGACTTACGATGACGGGAAGTGGCGAGAAAGGATCGCCTTGTCTTGTTCGTAAGTAGGTTTGAAACTGCCTACCATAAGCATTAACGATTCGGACAGCTGACTGTGACTTTATAGATACTTTGTGATGGTGTAATTTTTTTCGGGCCAACGTCATATGGTTTTAGCGTAGTCCAAATTATTTTATGTTTGATGGTATCTAATGCTTTTTAAAAATTAATCAACCGATTAGAAATTTTCTTTCCCGTATCTTTTTGTTTTCTCGACTAATACTCTGAGGATCAGAATCTGGTGTGTTGTGCTTCTGCGTCTTCTAATTTCTACCTGTTCGTCCGAAAGATAGGAGTCTAGTTAGGCTTTTAGTGTTTCCTGCAGTACAATTAGGAACACTTCTCTTGTATGATTGATAACAGAGATCTTCGTTCTTTGGTATCACTAACTAGATAGATTTACCCCCATTCCTTCGGAATTGTACCCTTCATGCAATGGTTCGTTACCGAGTTGATATATTTTACGTTGTAGTGGTTTCCCTCCAGTTCGTAGTACCTTTGCTGGAATTCTGTCTGATTCTGGGCTCTTATTTCTTTTCAATACACATACTGTTGATTCGATCTCAGAATATAGAATGTCTGGGGTATGTTCAAATCTGAGAGGTGCGATGTCTGAAAGTTCTTTCACCAACTCGTCTTCATCGCCACGATCATTATATAAACTGGTATCATCTTTTGATTGTAACTATGTGCCCTGCTGATCTCGTATCACGTTGACTCGAGATACAAATTCACTTTTTTATATTTTCAATAGGCTGTATGCTTCTCCAGTATTGCCAATGTTTAGACCTTTTCAGCTTGTTCGCATTGATTTTGTATCCAGCATTCTTTCTTGTCTTGTAGATTTATTGACTCTGCGATATGAGTCTTTATATTGCTGTGTTTATTTTATAGAAAAACCTTTCATCCATTTTAGTTTCCCTTTTTCATCAGCAAGTTTTAGTGTGACTACGGAAATCCAGGATTTTCTAGTTTGTCTTTTTACCGGTACCTTCGTCTCCATTGTATTTTCAATAGCTTGTCCTATCTTGTTAGAATGTTCTTCCAGACTACATGTTGTTCCTATATCCATTATTTTGTCAAATAATGTAGTGCTGTATGATTGTCTTCCTTGATCCGCAACTTAATACTACATAAGACTAACGAATAGTCTGAGCTAATATCTGCATTCTGAAAAGTTCGACGGTTGACCACTGAGGTCTTTCGTCATCTTAAGGATTCAATCTGACAGTGCTTAGGTCCATCTTCTGTTAGGCTTTTCTTGAAGCATTGTATTACATACGTAGAGGTTGTGTACTGCAGCAAATTCTGACAGGCATTCTCAACGTTCGTTTCTTTCGCCATATTCTCATTTTCCCATCACTGATTTTCAATCTGTATTTTCACCAATTTGAGCGTTCCAATCGTCTATCAAAATGATCATATCCTTTTTATCTGTCTTTGTTACTACTTTCTCAACATCGCTGTAGACTGCTTCAATGTCTTTCTCTAATGATCCAGAAGTTGGTATATATATATGCCTGACTGTTATCTCAAGCGGTATTGCATCAAATCGTGCCGGAATTATTCGCGGCCTTATTGGATTATATCCTATTGGTGCCTTTTCCCTTTGTGTGCTTAATGAGAAACCGACGCACTTTATATACAATCTTTTCTCCTGATCAGTTGAAATCATCATACGATGTTTCACCTTTTCCTGTCCATCGTACTTTAAAAGTATGAACTAAACCATATCTGACACGTTCTATTACATTTCGCAATAATTCTTATTTTTCTGCGGCCATAGGGGTCGCAAAATTCCATGTTCCTACCGTCGAAGAATTTTTGGCAAGCGATAGCTTTCGCGTGTTCCCTGTCAAATAGTTCGCATATGATATTTTTCCACACGCCAATTTATAAATTACTATGTTCATCGAGCAGACGACTTGAACCTTCTTCAGCACGGCGCTGTCCGAATCATTATGATATTTCCCCCAGACCAGCTGTCGCTGACTTCAGTCGTCGTGTTCCTTTAATGGGCAGCGATGTACGCATTTCTTCTGTCTAATATCCCTCCATTATCCCGACTTATGACTGGCATACAGTCCACAAATACTAGTCTCTATGATAGAGTTTAACTCGATCTATATGAGCATGATTTTCCATTCCGTCAATGACGGTATAGGATCCGATTTGCAAGATCTGCAAGGTTATTTTGAAACATGGCACGACCGCGGTTTTAGATGGTCACCCTACTCTAGTGTCACATTTCCATACGCGTACGGCAAATAATTTCGGATACACTGTTATTTTATACCTGACTAGCGCATCTCGGAGAATGTAATTGTGTCATAGTTTCAGCTGCCATAACCTTACATGCCTCAATACTTCTGATGTCTTGTTTAGGTGATGTGAGCTGTGCCACACCATGTCAAAACGGTGGCAAGTGTACTGGCAAAAACACATGCACATGTCCTGCTGGTTTCAGTGGCGCAACTTGTGAAAACAGTAAGTACAACGCTCATTCAAGTGTTCCTTCTTAGTGGGAGTTTCCTCGTGCTCTTCAGCTCAGCCTATCTGCAATCCTCCGTGTCAAAACAATGGAAAATGTGTTGCCAAAAATACGTGCAAATGTCCTGATGGTTACAGCGGTGCAACTTGTGAAATCGGTGAGATAGAAAAGCCTATTTCATCTTTCCATGATCTTATTATCCCTTTTCCGTCATTTCATCTTTCGCAGGCTCCAGTGGTTTATCCAACGACCGGTACACGTGTGAAGAAAAGCCAGTGTTCCAAATCACATTTGGTGCCGGCTCTGCGCCATATTCGAAGGCAAAACCATCTGACTTCAGTTTCAGCACAACTTATCAACAACTGTTCGAACCCAAACCAAACGATGGACAATTTTCAATTGTTAACAGTGTTCGACCAGATCGCGAATGGGATGTGTGGCTCAATGTCCCGCAAGATCATACAGGTGACAAAAACGGATACATGTATTTGGTGAATGGTGACTATAACCCTGGTCAATTTTACAATGGCACAATAAAGGATTTGACGGTCGGCCAGAGATATGAATTCTCGGTCTATCTCGCTAATCCTATGGCAGTTTCGGGTATTAAACCAAACGTTGTATTTGAAGTACGCAGTACGACAGCTGACAAGACTTTACTTGCCCGACTAACAACAGGTGACATACCAGAGGACAAGACCATCACATGGAGAAAATATGGTATCTCATTTATTGCTTCAACCACGACAGTCAATCTCCTGATGATTTCAAATGCACCTGGTGGATCAGGCAATGATATTCTTATTGACGATATCACATTACGTGGCTGTTCAGGTTAGTATATGAAGAGCTTTTCCGAAACCCTTCTCATCTGATTTATTTAACTAAGCAAGTGTGAGTAAGATGAAAAGCAGCGATGTTCGACATGACTAAATCATATACGCTTGGATCGGTACAGAATTTTTTGCATAATCGTTTAGGATGTCATGTTGGGTGATTGGTACCGAAAAAGATTTCCTAAATTTTTGAAAAGCCGACCAGGACATGGTCGCCCCGATTGTAGAGTCCTGCTTGAGCATACGTCTGTCGGAGCAGTCCCTTTAAACTAATCTGAAGTAAATAACAGTTCTAGCAAAGAATGAATCATACTCTCCATACTGCTATTCTGCATATTATTGCCAAGCTTTCTGTCACGTGAAGTTGCAATAGTTCTCGCCTACCTTGCACAAAACCTATCGTAAAACATATGTTGTCTGTTTTAGGTGATGTGAGCTGTGCTTCACCATGTCAAAACGGTGGCAAATGTACTGCTAAAGACACATGCACATGTCCTGCTGGTTTCAGTGGTCCAACCTGTGAAAGTGGTGAGATAAAAGTTTTTGTTCAACTTTGCTTGAGGTTAACGTATCGTTTGTGTCCGCATTGTGTGTATTGAAGTTGGTCAGAATATTTCGCCCGTAGTCTGTTCGAATCATGGCGGATTATTGCGGAATTCTTCTCGGTTGAAGATTTCGTGCGTTGCAGACGATAAGACGAGAGTAAAGACGCTAAACAGTTTATATTGATAGTTTGCTGAAGTGGTTGAAAAGCAACTTGCGCCTTGTGTGAACATCATAAACGGCGTTTACAGAAGCGGAATGATTATGGATTGGAATTTAAAGTATGATAGTAGATACCTTAGTCGACTCATATCTTTATGCGTCCAATGTGTAATAGCTAGCTTCCTACGCATATTCTTGACTGTCATAATGAAAAACACTGTATTATATGCCGCTTAGTTCAAGTTGATTTTCTGGGCATTCTGGTGTTTAGATATGCATATATTTATATATCTACCGTTATATCGACATATTGATATTTCCGGCTCTTGTAATTGGATCTTTCGATGCGTATCGTAAAACGTGCACTTTTATTACTCCATCGATACATCTATGGTTCTACTTTGTTAAATTTCTAAGTAAAAAGGGATTGCTAAAATTTTGTTTATTACGATTAGATTATATGGAAAATCCCAATTGCAGAGATTTTAATCTCAGATTGGGCTGCGAAACTCGTACACAGACTTTACATAGTCTTGCAGATTGTTGTTTTTCATCCTATATATTTCTGTATTTTTGCAAGTCTTGTTATGTTGTATGATCAGATTAGTGGCGTAATATCGGATATTATAGGACTTATCTTGTACTTCTGGCAAGATTTTCGCGTGAGTTGCGTAGTAATGTTCATACTATTATTTACATTAGCCGTCTCCTAAGATCCAACGGAAAGTTAAATATTTGTTGGCGATCACACGAATCAAACGTGTATATAGTTGAACTTATTTGCTTATTACAATGAAGATTCTCAGCTGAACCTTTGCCAATAGAAGAACGGTAGACTCCTAGTAAAAAACGTTTCGTAAAATACCTTCAGAAGTTGTTGGATTAACCTCTGTTTCAAAAGTCTCTGCACAAACTTTTTTGTGTTCGTTTATTTCGAGTAATAAGTTTTCATTTTTTTTTGTACTAAACAAAAGTACTAATGCTAAGCTATAAAAAATTAGAAAGAACAAGCCCCATAAGGTCGTTTATCAGTATTCGTCGGAGTTGTTTAGTATATTCGATGAATATGCGTTTTACAAAACAAATTTTGTGCAAAGACTTTTGAAACAGAGGCTATTTCTAGTAATACAGCAAGATTATTTTGCATTTTTACGACGTTTCCTGAAATAAAAGAATGGTTTTCTTCTCGCAACTGATTTTAAAATAACACAAATTCATCGATCCCTAAGAAAATATAATTTCAACTATTGCAAAGAAATGTAAAACTCCGATTACAAAAGTCTCCCGTGTCTCTTTCAATATTTTCTTACTTATTTATATTTCTCTTTGATAATATTACGTGAGTTATATGGATACCCTTCTATCAGGAAGTCCTGAATAAACATGTGCACTGTTACTTCACTGATTGTACTAGTCGAATATTTTCGCGCGCATACAGTTAGATGGACAATCATATAAGGGACGATCTGTGGTCGTCGAATCCGGGGATAAACTTCAAGAGGAACTGTAATCTAGCTGAGCTCCCACCATTTACCACGCACAGCCTTTACGATGCGCGCTTCAGCACTATCATGCAAGAAATGGCTTTCACTCTCCGTCACTTCCATTTTTCCCGAAACCTGATCCAATTACAGGCAACACAAATCACAGGTGACAGTACAGCCACTATCGACGTCAAGAAATCCGATGCTGGATCCAATCGGATTCCTGAATTGGGTCGGACGAGATTCGACATGGGTCCGAGACCATCGGAATCGAACGCAATTCTGTCGTCAGGATTTCATCGGATGCATCCAATACCTGTATGATGATCCAATTGGGTCGGAGTACGGGATTCATCGACCTGGGTTAGAGCAACTACCAAATTAATAGTACCCTTCCCTCCACCATAAACTCTGCATCATATTCTGAGAGTGAAAACACATTTTGCGTGGTCGTACATTGATCTCTCGACGTCTCACCGGCTGTCGCTAGTGGCTACGGTGAACAAACCTCACTCAAATTGCGTAGTCACTAATATACTTGTAAATACCTTACTAGTTACGCTGAGATGTCCTTCATTTTGTACCAGTATCCAACCTATACAGCAGTTTATTTCGTATCAGCTCTTCTCCTATTAAAACTCAATATTTTACTCTTCTCTTTACTCCCTCCACATGTGTATCCGCCGTAATACACAAGAGGAACCGAGATGTTCCACTACACATTGTATAAACAATACTCGTGCACAACTTTTATTCACAAATTTATCACACCACTACTGCTTCTCCAAAACCAGATACCTTAGTCACTCTAAACTAATCCTTCTTTAGGTACATTACACGATTCTCCCTCGTCAAACACACCAATCACAGATGCTGCTCCTACTACAGCTGCTCCCAGTACAGCTGCTCCAGAAAAACCAACCACTGAAGCTGCTCCAAGTACAGCTGCTCCCAGTACAGCTGCTCCCACTACAGCTGCGCCAGAAAAACCAACCACTGAAGCTGCTCCAACTACAGCTGCTCCCACTACAGCTGCGCCAGAAAAACCAACCAACGAAGCTGCTCCAACTACAGCTGCTCCCACTACAGCTGCGCCAGAAAAACCAACCAATGAAGCTGCTCCAACTACAGCTGCTCCCACTACAGCTGCGCCAGAAAAACCAACCACTGAAGCTGCTCCTGCTACAGCTGCTCCTACTACAGCTGCACCAGAAAAACCAACCACTGAAGCTGCTCCTACTACAGCTGCGCCAGAAAAACCAACCACTGAAGCTGCTCCTGCTACAGCTGCGCCAGAAAAACCAACCACTGAAGCTGCTCCTGCTACAGCTGCTCCCACTACAGCTGCTCCTACTACAGCTGCACCAGAAAAACCAACCACTGAAGCTGCTCCTGCTACAGCGGCTCCCACTACAGCTGCACCAGAAAAACCAACCACTGAAGCTGCTCCTGCTACAGCGGCTCCCACTACAGCTGCACCAGAAAAACCAACCACTGAAGCTGCTCCTGCTACAGCTGCTCCTACTACCGCTGCTCCCACCACAGCTGCACCAGAAAAACCAACCACTGAAGCTGCTCCTGCTACAGCGGCTCCCACTACAGCTGCACCAGAAAAACCAACCACTGAAGCTGCTCCTGCTACAGCTGCTCCTACTACAGCTGCACCAGAAAAACTAACCACTGAAGCTGCTGCCACTACAGCTGCACCAGAAAAACGAACTACACAAACGGCTAACAAGACTCGTCCGTCGAAAGAAAGCACCCGTCACCCACAAAAACCAACAACACAAGCTCCTCGCAGCACTCGTCCAGCCAAAGAAAGTACGCGTCATCCACAAAAGTCAACTAGAGAAGCTGTGGTTAGTACGGCTCAATCAGGAAAACCAACGGGACAAGTCGCCCAAAGTACTGCTCCGGCGAAAGAAAGTACTCGAAAAGCAGGACCGGAAGGAACTACTGTAGTACCATCTAGCTATCCAGGTAGGAATTGGACTGCGCAGGGTACTATTAAACCAATATGTTGATTAATAGGGCAAACTACCGCTGGAGTAGATGATGGTTCACCTGAAGAGGATGATAATGGACAATCGAGTGAATCGTCAACCGTGGATGACAGAAACAAGTATGGTGGTTGTAAAGGTAATGAAATTATAACGTTCGTAAAAGACTTAGAAATAAGAGAACAAGAACTTTTAGTGATGTACTCGAGAAAGAAAAACGCTCGCTATAGAGATGAGGGTGAGACATTTCACGTAAATTATTAGTGCCAAAAGGGAGAATTTCCGTTGGTACGTATGTGAAAGCGAACGCTTGTATAACATCCAGATACGTTTGATGGCTCCACTAAGACAGTCACCAAAAATGTGTTTACAGAAATTAAATACAGGTGAATCTTTCAATGAGAGGAAAATATTGATTGCGTCTGGTTTTTCTGCGTATTCAGTTGGTTTTAAATAAAATATTTTTTAGGAAAGCGAAAAGGTGTTAGCGATGACAACGACGATGCATCAGGGGATATAGATGACGATCAGCAACCTGCATATCGCCGTCATCCATCTGGCAAAAAACGTTCTCGCAATGGAATCAAACGAGTACGTATCGGATGATATTTTTACCAAAACGAAGTATAGTCTAGTCGATGATTAGTAGTCTTTTTTGATTTTACGATATGGACTCTGATGAAGTGCCTAAAAAGAAGTTTCTAATAATTCAGTAGCTTTCAATATGTGTAGTAATTCATTCAAAAGTATAAAGATTATTGTGATGACTTCCAGGGCATTTATGTGTTCAATATCTTAGTAGATTGCAAAACTTGCACAATTTATTATTAATACTCGCTTACATGAAGGAGACATTGGTGATAGTTTGTATAGAGAATGTTTATGGAACTTGTCGTTTATCAGTATTGTTGAACTGTTATCACTGTGCTGCGATACCTTGTTAGGCATTTATATATTTTACTGCACTTCTTCGACATAACATAAAGAAAAGTAAACTGTTGAGTTTGATTCTTAATAATATTTTGAAAAAAGGACTATCGGTAAAAAGCATAATACTTCTTTTACATAAATTTCACGAGGAAAAGCTAAAATATTTAAAATCAATTATGAATTTAGATTACCACAAGTGTATCAGATGTTACTCTGAATAGCAATACTTATAATGGTCAATGTGGACAATGTGCACTACGTTATATTTTTTCTTCATTTATTATCGAGAATGTTACAATTGAACGACTATCAAGAGTTGCTGACAAAAAGTTCGTTCTACAATTCAAAGAAAGTTTAAAGCGTGAAATAAAAAAACATGAAGCAAAAGGATTAAAACATGTCAAAGTTACAAGTTTAACTACATTTAATCGTGATAATTTACTTGTGGAGTTTGTTTCTGTTGTCAATCCAAAATATAATCGACAAATAAGAAGTGCTATACAAAAAGCTCTTCTCACCCTCAATGTAAGTTTATTATTATTTTTTTGAATTTGTTATCTTTACATTGATTATTTTTTTCTAGCTCGACGACTCATTCCAAAAGCAAATCTAATGAATAAGAATTTTACCATGACAACCAATTCTCTTACCATTTATTCCTTTCTAATTTGTCTTTTGGTGTAAAAGTATCTATATCATTCTAATAAATAACAAGTAACCCTTATCACATTCTTCATTTCTTATCTCTATCAAGGATACCTCTTTCTTTGTTTTCTAAAATTTTTTTGGGTTTTACGCACCGTAGATAGACCACCTGTTGGACATAAAACGGTTGCAAAAATTTCAGACACTTCCTAAGCTTTTCAGATTTTTCAAAAAACCAAGTTTCAAGTCGAGCGGACAAAATCTATTGATATACTTAGAGAGAGAGAGAGAACAAAACAAGTTAAAGATGACGTTCTACGTGTTCTATATAAATTTGAAAGAAGTAAGAAATCAAAGTAAAATTTTATGTGTAGAGTTCAATCTCATAAAATGCCCACCTCTAGTTCGAAAATGATAAATAACTAAATTATCGAATAAATTGTCATTATTGTCTACACTATCCGCGAATGGAAGTACAACGATCTTGGACAAAAAAAGTTTTCTTTAAAAACTATTAAAAACATATTTAAATCGATACCGTAACAAATCCAACATAATTCATCTTTCTCATTGACACTTCTTTTCAATACGCTTAACACTAAGATCGTATAATTTTCTACATTTCATCGATTAGAATTCCGAATTGTGATGAATGTTATGACTAATTTTGTCGTTACTTTATAAAATTGCTTTGTAGAATTGTTTCATTCTAAACAGAACCAACATTTCATGGTTATCCTCAACTCATCTCATTCTCTATTTTTGCTCCGAGAGAGATGATAATGGCTCAGTTCTCAATGATGATGGTCAATGAACTGATCAATAGTGATACAAGGAAATCACTGATCGAACTAAACAATTTTCATATGCGTTCTTTCTAATATTTTACCTGTGTAATAATAAAAGTAAGTTTGCAGCAAACGTTGTACACTACAAGACTGGAAGATTTATATGAAAATCTCAGATTACATCGGAAAGAATATAAAAAGCCGTTCTAAACGTGATCCTTATCTTCATAGCAGAAGTTTGTTTTTCGAACTTTCAACAATTCAGAAAGAAGAAATAGAACTTCGTCGGATTCAATAGTACTAACAGTTATAAAAGATGAAGCGGAAATAATATATCATAATTTCCTAAATCTAGAATCAATTGTCATATAAGTGTGTAATATTTATTTTGATATTAGTTGAGAAATAAATCTTTCTCTTTTATTTAATTATACGAAACATTTAATGAACAATCTTTCCAATTTCATCCTCGCTCCATAGTCACGATCTATGCCAAGTGTACGCCCATTAATAAAATGTCACCATCATTCGTTCGCCTCACGCTTTTTTCACATAAAAAGTCATACCTATGCAAAAAATTTCCATTAAAAACACTTCGTCCAATAGAATCTATTTTCTTAATCAACTAAAATGCATTTCTCTTCTGAATTATCTCTACAGAAATACTTCAATATTCATGGTAATTGAATTCATCATATTTTCAGAATGTACAACATAGAAGAATAGAATGAATGCTCAAGATTCCTTTTCCACTCACATCCACATAGTCATTTCATTCTGTTTAAATTGGAAGAAATAAACTTTGTTTCTTTTATTCGCTTAATATTTTTAAACAATAAAGGTATACATTTTTTCGTGAGCGAAACAATTCTTATGTGTCACATAAAAAGTAAATAAATCAGTTCCGTTTTTTTCTCTTCACATTCATTCATCATGGCGACAGCTAATAGTCGTGAGCAGAGTATCGACAATGACGATCTTGTTTGTCCTATTACTCTGGAATTATTTCGTGATCCGGTAATTGCAAGTGATGGACGTGTTTATGAACGAGCAGCGATCACACAATGGATTAATGATCATGGTACTAGTCCATTTACTAGACAACCATTACAATTGAATGAATTGCTACCAGATGATCATTTGAGGCAATTGGCAGCGCGTCGTCGAAATTCAACCGTTTCATACAATGTACAACATAGCACAGTGACATTACCACCATTACAAACTGGTTCAAGAAATACTAGACGTGTACATCCTCAACCACCTACCAATGCACCAGCCATTGAACCTGCTAATGGCACATGTTCTAAATCTGCCATTTGTTTTTGCAGTTGCTGCTTATTGTGTTGTTTCGGAGTTATTCTTGCAATTATTTTATCAATAGCTTTGGCAAATAACAAATCTGGAAGTGACTACTCGTATGTAGGTAAGTAATTCGAATAAATGATGATCAAGCTATTGATGGATACGTAGTCAACGAATATTTATTGAAAAGAAGAAATGCAAATATCACTCTTTTTCTTTTACATATTTAATCAACATCTATTTCATTTAATGTAGGTTCTCCTAGAGCAACTTTTTCCGGCGTGTTAACTACAATGAGTCCAAACTATACGAGACCAGGCTTTTGGCTTTCACCTAAGTGCTATAATTGCCACTATTATGTTGTACGCAAATTATTTATCAACACCACTGGTTACTATACAATTCAAAGTCGTAGCCTTATAGATCTCTATGGATACCTATATAACGGACAATTCAACAGAACTAGTCCACTGATGAATTTACGTAAGGGAGACGATAATACTGCTGGTTCACAACAGTTCTATATAGGAGATTATCTTTTCTCCTTGGTATACGTGCTCGTAGTGACTACCTTCGAACCGAATGTGACAGGATCATTTTCTGTTTCGATAACTGGTCCAGCAACAGTAACTATTCAGTAGAAATGATCTACATTTATTATTTATTTTTGTTCAAAGAGAAATTTGAAATGTTTTTTATTTAAATGAGAAGTGGCTCAAGTTACTATTTTTGGAAATATTTGACGGAATATTCAATTCGTCATTGTTTTGAATATTATCGCCAAAAAAAGAGAGTGAAAAACTACAGAAAATATCGAAACTGATTCTTGAATGAATGAATATTGAAATGACTAGTCGTACGTGTCAACCCAAAAGAATCTCAACAAAAACGACTAATTATTCTCACTAACAAGTTATTGTAAGATAAACTATGAAATATTTAGTATTTATCTTTATAATGATGAATAAAATCGTCATCACATTGAAAAAGTCAGTACGTGTTAAGACAGATATTATTAAATTTACCGTGTAGAGTTAACAGTATAAATTATATTCAATACACAGCGCAATTCATTTCAGAGTATTGCTTTTCTTATTATACTCGTAAACAAATGTGCGACAAATATGACGTCAACTAAAAGGAAGAGAAAAGAAAATTTTTATTAACAAATATCGATGTACACCATTAAAAAATCACACAAGCCAATGATTCATTCGATAGTTAATTACAAAAAGAAGGAAAAGGCCCAAACTAGTGGTGATATCATTTACATTTCATCATTGCATTTCGATTTGACGTGTAAATCAATATAAATATGTCCTTTTAGTATCTATAAAATAGATTTTACATAACGAGTATCGAACAACGACAATCATGACATCAGATTCACGAATGCGTAACCAACAAAACAGATATGTTCATTCATCAAATTCATATTCAAGTAAAGGTTAGAAAAAGAAAACTAGAATTTATTTCTATTTTATAGACAAAAAACGACAATCAACTCGATCAAAAAAGAGACATGAACTAATTTATTTTTATGGTGATGAATTTCAATATGAAAGGGAGTTTGATTATGAAAATGAAGACATCGATTGGGAAGATGTGAGTAATTATATCGATGCACAATGGAAAGAAATTTGTGATGTTATCGATCTTAATGATTCTGAACTTCTCGAATGTCTTTTACCACCAACGAATGTTTTTAATAGTAAAGAAATCTATTGGACCAATGAATTATCAGCAAAAGAATACAAACCTTTTATAAATATTCTTTCACATGCAATTCGCATTGGACATTCTTACTGTGTTGGAGTCATTTTAGACAAAATCTATACTGGAGAGTTAGAAACGGATTTACTACATAAATTTTACAATATAGAACATGTTCCCCTATGGTATGCATGTAAATTTTCAGATTTGAATCTCGTACAAGAATTAGTTGAATATGCACATGTTAATATTAATCAATATGATTTTTTGAGACTTGCTGTTCTACAAAATGATGTTCTTTTAGTCGATTATCTCTTAAGTCAAGGATATGACATACAATCACATCTATATGAAGATATTTTACATCGTGCTGTTGATAGAGGTTATTTTCATATTGTTAAAACTCTTCTAAAATATGGTGTTGATCCTAATCCGCAAGATGATGTGGACAAAACTCCTCTTGATTACGCTATTCATCATAAAGATGTCGACATGATTAAAGTTCTTCTTGAACATAAACATGGACATTTGCAACCGAATTACGATAAGTTTACACCGATGATGTTAGCTGCTCATCATAATTCAAGATATATTGTTGATTTACTTTTTCGATTATTACCGTTTGATCAATGTATTGATGATTTAGTTCGCTTAGCTTGTCGATATACGGTTGATCTCGAAATACATGATCAAGAAATGGCATTTTATTTCTTCTCTCAAGGTCTGAATAAGAAACAATTATCAGATGATTTCCCTCTTTATGAAGTTTATGAATTTCGTCGCGAATGTCAAACATTAGAAGAACTTGAATCAATACGAAATGATTCTCATTTGATGCAATTACATGCTTTACTTGTGAATGAACGAATGTATCTTGAACATGGTGATACAAATTTGTATCTGAATATCATTGAAAAGCAATGTGAGCCTTATATCGGAAGAAATTCAGTTCATCAACGTTTTCATTTACGTTTACATGCTTATCAATTGATTCTTCGAATTCAAAAAGATGAATATGATTTTAAAAGATTATTCGATGAAGAAACAAATGACGAATTATGTCAAGATTTCTTTCAAATATGGGAAAATGATGGTTTTGTATCAATTGATTCGTTAGTCACTGTTGCCAATTGGATGTTTTTTTCCAATTTGTCTTTCACAAGTCTTCAAATAAAAATTGTTAAGATTATTATTTGTGTAAGTGAATTTTATCGACGAGAAAAATGAGATTTATTTGTGTCTTTTAGATACTTCAATCGAAGAAATTGACAAAAAATCAACAAATTACTCTTATAAATATTGTAAAACGTCTTGAAACAGAACACAAAAGTTATTTTCTCGGGTGTTTTATGGCAAAAATAGTGGAGGGCTCTTCAATTGAACAATCCGGTCAATCAAGGTAGAAATTTCTCATTTGATTTCATAGAATTCGACGAAAAAATATTGTCTATTTTAGTTTTTCAATATTCTCTGCCATTCTTTTCCTAATTCACTGTGGAACAGATGTCAATGGTATTTTTCATTCTTGGACTGGAGATCGACCATTGCATCTTATAGCCCGATGTTCCGATATAATCGAAGCAAAACTTATCATTGAATTACTTCTTAATTGTGGTGCACATCCTGATGCGATTAATTATTTTGGAAATCAACCAAAAAATGAAGCTAAAGTACGTTCTGTCAAAAAATTACTTTCAACTAGTCGACATCTTTCTCTCAAATGTCGATGTGCTCAAGTAATTATTTCGCAAAAGATCAATTATAAACATTATTTCAACAGAAGAACTATCGATTTTATTCAATTACATGATTGTAAAACGGACGATGACAAAGTTGTAAGATGAGAATGTGGGTGACAGCAACTGTATCAGCGGGTGATGATGTTTACGTTCCTATGCGCGTTTTTATAAGTTTTAGAAGTATGGAGGCTGCGCCCATCCTCAATCCATGTAATTTCACCCACATCATGATATAGTTTTAAAGTGGTTAAATCGGTCCTCTAAATGATAATAGCAACGACCTTTCTCATTTTGAAGATATAATCAAATGAGAAGACAGAAATTAAGTGAAAAATGCTGTTAAAAATCGATGCGTTCTCAACGAGAGACGCTCAATTAGTCCTCATATTCACAGAACTGATATTCTTCAATGACGAAGGCATGAGCCAGACGACTGAAAAAATGGTATCCTCGGGCCAGTTTTTTGATCTTGAATCAATAGGAAAAGGCTTCCAAAGCTATAGTGTTTTTAGGATTACTCCCCGAAAACGACTTTTTATCTCAATAAATTATATATATTCAGATTCAGCGCATCGAACTGCACCGGATCACATAAAAACTTAGCAAAAAAAATTTGCTCGAGTTTTGCCTGTCGCGAATGTTACAAACAATATTTTTTCGTCTGACCCTCCTTTCATTCGAAGGAATATTTCAATCGAGAATGCGATAATAAAAAGACTTCTATGTGTTTGTAAAACAAATTCCCTTTCGTTTTAATACGCAGAAAATTTATTCAATATTTGGTCATGCAACAAAGTGACGATTCTTGATAAACAGAAAAGTAAAATGTTTATGAAACCATTCAATTTTTTTCATAATTTCAATATAAAAGAAGCATTTAGTCGAATTCATTTCTCTGAATACATATATAATCATGTCAATAGAACGACTCATACGTTTATATAAATGTCACGACCTGCACATAAACCCACGTGTGTATTTGTACTATTTATTCAAAAGACAAACTCATTTTTCACTGTACTGGTTCACTTACAATGCCAGATTATTCCATCGAACACATCGCTACAGTATTTCCAATCGAACGAGATGCATTAAAATCTCAATCAAACACAGGTCAACGTCGTGATATAATAAAAGACTTCAGTTTAAATACATCAGCTCATGGTATTCCTGGTATTGCACGAAGTCAAAGTTTTCACAATCGTGTCTTTTGGTTGATTTCATTTATTGCTTTTACTGGTATAATGTCCTACTTTGTAATTACAGCAATACTTGCTTATTATAATTATCCAACTCAAACAACAATCGATGCAGCTGATCAATGGCCACAAATCTTTCCTGCAGTAACAATTTGTAATTATTCACCATATCGTTATGATACAATAATCAAACGATTTTTAAATTATACAAATTCACTTAATTTAACAAATACAAATGATACAAATACATTTTCGAAAGAACAAGTATCATATATTTCTGATTTTGTTCGATCTCTTATAAATCGTAATGAATCATTAAATGAGTTTTATTATCCATTGAAAGATATGCTTATTAAATGTGTTTATAATGGAAAAAATTGTTCAGCTAATGATTTCGTTTCGTTTATATCTTCAAATTATGGTTTATGTTATACATTTAATGCTCAAACATCAAATATAAACAATGGTGAATTACATTATAATAATGAAAACGGAGAAAGTGGTCTTCTTCAATTAGATCTTTATATACATAGTCATCAATATGTTCCATATTTATCGAATTGTAAGAATATTCTTTAATTCGTTCTATTGATCTGAATCGTTTCTTCTATGAAAATAGCTGTGAGTATAGTGACAATGGTTCATGACAATCGAAAACTTCCTCTAGTTGAAAAACTTGCTATTCGATTGGTACCAGGACGACGACATAAATTAGGTTATACGAAAACAATAACGACGTTTTTACCACCACCTTATACACATTGTAGTAACACTGTAACTCCAGAAATGAAAGCTTTGTATGATGCATTTTCTGGTGCACTCTATGATTATACGATTGAAATGTGTTTTATAGCAGTTATCCAGACTTATGTCTACGAACAATGTGGTTGTGTTGACCCAACGGAATGGGCTGCTCGTTTTGTTCGTCCTTTTGGAAGTTCAATGGTGATTCAATCGCAACTTTGTAATGTCACTGATCCTTGTTATGCAAATGCAAGTGACATATTTCAAAGTACACCAGAAATATTTGGAACATATGGTTCAGTTTGTGGATTAGATTGTTCTTTTATTGATTTTCCATTGAAAATTTCTTCGGGTTATGCACCAATGGAATGGGATATTGAAGATATAAAAACATTTGTTGAATCCTCATCAATTCCATTACCTTCGAATTGGTCAACAACGTGGAGAAATGATATTCAAACAAATTATGTGGCTTTAGATGTTGTTTGTGAATCAACCCGAGTGACAAGTTATATTCAACAAGCATCAATAAGTGCTGTGGATGTTGTGTCCAATATTGGTGGTCAAACAGGTCTTTGGATTGGAATTAGTTTTCTTTCATTGATGGAAGTCGCAGAAATGTTTTATCGACTCATTCGACATCAAGTTCATCTTTTTCGAAGAAAATTCAAACAAAGAAATACGAAACATTGAAACATAAATGAGTTCAGAAAAAAAGGATTCAAAGAAATCCATACCTCTTGAATAAATTTTGCTGCCGCTGAGTTGATGCGGTAAAAGGTGAAGCATAATAAAACAACGCTGACAGATATTTTTATTACTGCTATTATCATTTATAAAAAGATCTTTTTCGATTTCTGTCTAAATGCAATAAAAGATGGCAATGAATTCAACAGTATCACATCAATGATTTAGTGATCTTATTCATGAACCAAAGAGACTTCTGTTACCTTTGGATGAAGCTGTTAAACCAATCAAGACACAGGATGAAAGTGCCTCGATTCAATTACACACTATGGAATCGATACGACCAGAAGAAAGCATTTACTTTATAATAAATCAAGTATTACGATTAGCAGATCGTTGAAAACTTGGTACATTCTTTTCGTATCTGAAAGTAATATTTACTGCGGTTTATGGAAATTGGAATTTTGTGGTGTTTCAGTTCTTGTACACAATCTTTATCTCTATTGGAATCAGAACAATTTCTTGGTAAATCTGGGAAACGAACGTTATTTAATATTCAATGCACAAATGGCAAAGTCATTCGTCATCATTCACATTTTAATCCAGAATTTAGTTCTGTATCGATTGGACTAGCTTTTATGAACGGGCCCTACTCAGCGAAAAAGCTTGTAGCTAGACTTTTGTTCTATCGTGCTAGCTTCACATCGATCAAACACACACTCAGTTAAAACGAAAGTATACTGAAATACGTCTACATCGATTTCCACTCTCTTCTTTGTCTGGCAGAGCATGAGTTGTACTATTATAACCATCAATACAATGATAGGTTTAGCGAGGAGACAATTGTTTATTTTTGAGAAAAATTTTTTTGATCTTTTCCAGTAGAGATAAACGAGCGAATAGCCATAAACCATCTGAGATAGCGTCAAAAGGTTTACGCAAAAGCACTTATCATTCTTTGATAAAGCACTCCCTTCTTTCAAAACACGCGATCTATTCCTGCGTCAAAGAGTAACAAATTTTGCTCATTCGTTTGCATTTGTCTATTCACGCAGTTGGTGCAAGTAGGCACTGGGAAATACTATTTATTGATTACTAAATAAAGTTAACGTGTGCTGGTACAGTATGAATCAATGATACATTCCTCTATTTTCCTCTTTTCTCTTCATTTGTCGGTAGGGTACCCAAATCTGTGTATAAAGTCATATACTCGAAATTCGGATTTACTGAAATAAAATACAATTTTGTTGTTTCTCAGTTAAATCATGTTCGCCTATCAGACTTTTACTGCGTAACGCAGTCTGCGTTACAAAAGCTTCAGTTATATATAGAAAATATGAAGTGTAATTTCGATGTTTTTTTCTTCACTGTTAACAGGTGATACATCGTACAAAAGTATCAATTGTGATATCAAATTAAACACATTTTTTTACCTCTGGATCATTTATAAGTGTGGTATTGACATATCTGAATAAACAATACAGATGAAAGCCTGGCATATTCTGACAATCATATCACTTTATTAAACGAATATCTCGATTTATGGTAGTTTTTCATCATGTAATAAAATCAATTCTAGTTTCAAATCCTTCGGTGTACAATAAAAGTTAACATTTTTCACAAGAAAAATCATAGGAACTAGAAATTGTTCACATAATATCGCAAAACACAGATTCATCACATGAAGTCTTTGGGATCACTTTTCTTAATTCTTCTTGAAATCGTTCAAGGTCATCCACAGGTATCGTTATCGTTTGAGATGAGTTCAATATATCTCTCAATTTATTTAACGATTGTACAGATTTTGGAGTAATAACCGAATATAATTCAAGTAACCGGTTACCGTTGATTGTATCGTTGCCGAATAATTTTAGTATACTTGTCAGTTTCTTTTCCAAAAGAAATTTTAGAACATCTTGTTGCGACCATTGATCAACGGCTTTCTCTTCACGCGACTGTTCTATTACACATGAAGATGTATCGTCTTCTGAATCCGTTTCTATGTCAGATAAGAAGTCATACTCATAATCCCTATTGGACGAGATGCTTAGTGGTGACAAGCTTATATAATCGTTATTATCGCTTTTTAAATTCGCATCAGATAATATTAAAATAGGTTCATCATGATTGTTTGAATGATCCATTGATTGCGATGACTTTGAATCTGCATGTATACTGTCATGCATTTTGTGAGAGGAAGCAGATGATCTGGCAGAAACGATCGGTGGAAGTACGTTTTTCGGATTTATGCTGTTGGGAACAGGAGTGCTATTTCTCAAACGATCTGAAGTTCTTTCGGATCGCGGTGGAGTTTCTGGCCTTAGTACTGGACTAATCGGTGTCGACGATATATGCATTGGGTTAGAAACTTTTTTGTTAATATGTACTTTGACACCTTTGATTGTAAGTTTTGAATCATCAGAAAACGTTGGTGATATCTTATCAGGGACTACAGGTGTACTTGATCGATTAGTCAGTTCTCCTGGCGTATTCAAATTATCAATATATGTTGCATTATTAACATTCTATGAAAAACGACTGAATTAATGAAGTTCATATTACAGAAATATACAATATAGTTTCCTTACCGAAATTACTGGAATACTTGAGTTGATATTTGAACTTGGTGGCGCCGTAGTTTGCTGATTCTTTTCTTTCATTTTCTGAACAATATCAGCAGCTTTATCGAGAACATCACGTGTTAAGATTTGATCTAAAATGGAATGATCAGGAATCTCATTGTTACGATGACGATGTAATTGTTCATAAAGATCTCTGAATGCTTTCGAGAAATCATTTTTAATAAAATCAATATAGTGATTATTGGCAAATAACAAGCCGAGCCATCCATTTGGAGTATATTTTGGTTCAACTTTGACGAAAATCATACGACGCTTCTTCTTGTACGCATATTCAGCTTCTGACTGACAAGCTTGACTCGTTTTGTAAGTACCTGATGCACAGATAAGTATAGTTTCAGATTGCTCAATTGCTTCTGCCATACGTTCCATTAATGATCCGTACATTTTCTCTTTATCTATCCATACTTCATATTTTTTTGTTTTTACCAAACATTCATGAATTAGATGACACATATCGGCATTCTCATGAGAATAACTGATCATAATACTGTGAACATTAACAGGTGCATTTTTTCGCTCTACATTTTCGTTTTTGATACGTTTCTCTTCAAGTTGTTCTAATTCCTCAGGCTTCAAATTTGCATGAAGTTTTTCTAATTTCATTCCATTAGTTTCAATCGTCACCCAAACCCGAGTGCGATCTTCTTCAATACTATTGCTTAGATTGGTATTACGATCTACCGATACACCTCGTTCTTGTGCTTTTTTTAATTGAAATTCTTCTTCACCTTCAAGTCGCCATAGTATTCCATCCGCACTAAACTTTAATTCCGGTTTATTGGATTGTAATAAAGATTTAAGCTTGGCGATAAATCTTTTGTCGATTTTCCAGAATTTTGCTGCTTTTGAATTGAAACTAATCGTCCAAATAAGATCAAGAGCTAGTTGTTGAATTGTGTCACGATCAAACTCCTCAACACATGCTGATTTGGTCAATGATGGTAGACCGTTCTGATCAATCAATGCATTCCTCATATGTCTATTTTGAGTAATTACTAGAATATAAAAGAAGTATGAATAATTTCTGATGTTATTAGCTGAATAATATACCTTGCATAGCTTGAAGTAACGTTCGTAAATGGATACCACCATGTATTTGAGTCGAATTTTCAACCATGCTTGATAAATATGTTGCATATTTTGATGCTAAATCTCCAGGTTGCTGCAAATCATCAATATTATCGATGATTAGTGCAAATAGATTTTTTGCTAAAAACTGAATCTTTTCTTCATATCTCCTCTTTTTTTCTACGTTTGCTTCATCTTGACTTCTATCCTTGTATTTACACAGAAATATAAGCGTTTCATTATATTTTTCCTTTCCATTATTAGATTCCGCCAAATCTTTCAGAATGGATACTAGTCTTGTGCTTAACGTCAAATTATAAAGTAAAACTAATACAATATATACTTGTGATTTGTGCTTAATGGAGAAGAGACTTTGTCCACTTTTGTCGATGTGTACTTCTGTTAATGACACTATAATATCTAGAAGATCTTTGATAATATCATTTGGAAATTGTTCACGTGTTGACTTAAATGTCGCACAAATGATTAAAATTTCTAAATATCGAATAAAAGCGTTAGAATTGTACTTATAATTTCGAATTTCAAACTTCTCCAGCTGACAATCGGAAGATGAAGAAAACGATTTTCGATAAATACATGACCAATATTTCAGAAATGGTTCATATAGTTTAATTGCAATTTGCTCGTCTTGGTTGGTACAGTATGTCGATATATATAAAGGGCAAGTTTCCGTAAAAAATACAGCATATTCTTTGTCCAAATGATCGAAGCTTTCTATGTATAGTTTTGACAGTAAACATCGTAGACAAGGTTCCAAGATTTGTGATTGAATTTGTTCACGCATATGAGATGAAATATTTAAACAAAAGCAGTGAAGTATTTCTTTTAATACTATGCAACGTATCATTAAAGACGAGTCGTTGGAAACTAGTATGAGACATTTTCTAAACATCTCTATGATTCGATCGGTAAACAAGCATTTGTGAATAACTGGATGTGTTTTGTTTTGAGATGATTTTAAGCTATTCAACAGTAAACACATTGATTTAAACGTTTTCGTATTGTTTTCAGTAAGTGTATAATCGGACGAGTGACAAGTATTTTCCAATATAAATAAAAATGTGCTATGAAAAATTTGCCAAAACTCATGTCGTTCAATCGATGGATGTATTGATTTTCTATAGCCATTAGCCAAACCTTGGCAAATTATTTGCATAACTTTTTGTGCCAAATCAGATTGAGCAATGCCATTTTCGATAACATTCTGTAAATCATGATGCACTGTGCTCATTACATACGTTACAACATACTCATCTTGAAGAGCAGCATTTGTAATAGTGAGTTGATCAATATCTAATTTAACTTTTTTTAATATATCACGATCCGCACGAGTAGTACTGTTTTCCATTATTGATGATTATTTTAAATCTATATTTCCGCACTTGTAAACTTCAATGTATCTTCGATGCAGAAAAACTCAAAAACTTCTCAACTATTTAGTATTAGATCGCTATATAAGATAAATGTATTCACAATGGCCATTTTTACCTGATACAGCAGAAAAAAAAACGACTTCTAATCAGTTAAATAAAACTAAAGAAAAAGGCAAGAATGAAGAACAGATCCAATAAAAAAAGTCATAGAAAATCCACAATACAATTTGTATTTTCGCAGTTCTGATTTACGAGCAATAAAATTATCAGTTCTATAAAACTTGAAATTCGCGTATAAAGAAACTTTTTCTTTGGAAAGAAATTTGATAAGGCTGACATTTTTATAAGACACTTACCTTTATGTTGCCTCTCAGTATTAAAGCAATCAACAAAATTTGAGGACTGTCTTACTTGGCCAAAGATCTACCTTCTGTCTAAAACAATATATTCTAATGATGAGTTTGTGATATATTTTGGGGGAAGACATGTCATAAATATAAGGAATATAAGGATGTCTGAGTATTGTTCATCTGAAAGAAAATGGAAAATCGCCGGTTGTTCTTCTAAAGCCACCATTCACGGTTGAGATTAACGGTGACAATACGAAACCATCGTCCTAACAAACAGGGCCTTCAGAAACGCAATTAAAAACAAATAGTGATGACGGATTGTTGAAGACCGCCAAAGATATTCTCGAACAAATGAAAACAAACAAAGTAGAAGAGTTACAAATTCGATTAAAACAATTATCCGATAAAGATTTGCAAACGATTGGCGAAGAACTGAAAACAAATAGAAGTATAAGATGTGTTTGTATTGAAGATCCTCTTCGATTAGAATCAGAAAGTCAATCGATTGAATATATCATAAATGCATTAAAAGCAAATCAATCAATCAACTCGTTCGAGCTTCATGGTATAGTGATTGGGTTCCTGATCGAAATGCACATTCACATCATCAAGGATATGAAGACTTTTCTGATTGTTCACATATTGTTGCACAAGTTTTAAACATCAATCAACGAATCACAACGTTGTCGTTTGCTTCGACTTCACTCACAGATAATAGATTGCGGATTATTATTAAATCAGTATCTACATTACAAGATCTGGTGGTTCAGAACGATTCCTCACTTACTATACAAACTGCCGAAATATTTGCTAAACTACTTCGTACAACCAAAACTTTACGACGTTTGGAACTTTTGACTTTGAATCAATGCGATGATCAATGGGTGAAAATTATTTCAGAGGCAGTAAATGCAAACAATACTTTGCATCGCTTGTCGATGCAATTTACCTCAATCGGTGATAAAGGCGCTCAGATATTTGGTGTGATGTTAGCAAAAAATAAAACATTAAAAGATTTAACAATCCGTGGCTGTAAAATAAATAATGTTGGCGCAATAGCGTTGGCCGAAGGACTGAAGAATAATATAGTATTGAGAGAATTAGACTTATGTTACAATGACTTTGGAGAATCAAGTGACGGTGGTAAAGCTATTCTAAATGCAAAATACAACTTGCTTCAAGTTCGATTTAAATGCTAGGTAAACATGTCGAATATGATTGCGTTGAAGGTATGTGAGGGGAGCAAGGCGAAGTATATATTTCGAATGACTATAATGATGAAATTAAAGTGTACGGTCGTATGTAGACATCTACTCAAATATAAAATAAACACATATTTCATCATACACCGCGCTGTTAAACACACTTACTCTACCTATGCGAACAATAAAATTAGAATTAACTTTGGAGAACGCAAAGAGCAAAACTCATTTCATCAAGAATTTCAGGTACAACTGTTATAATTGTTTGAGGTATCAATGTAAATGAATAATGAATGACGCTTATTGTACAACATAATCACCTTCTTTTGTAATCAATAAAATCCAATACAACACGATTGATCTTGATTTTGCCAAACCAATATGAATATATGATGGAGATTTCGACAACTAAACAAGCGAATGAAAGATTCTTTTTTTCTCGAATTTTCCAAAAGACGAATTTTTCTTGTCCGGTTAATACAAATATCATTTTTGAAGAATATTCTGTGTTACTATTTGCCTTGAAATATTGGAAAACGAAAAGAAAAACTCGAGAGACTCTACTCGACGCCTATCGTAATGAATTTTTCCTTTATACCGAGTTGAGAATGAAGGAGATACGGGAAAATGAAAAAGAGATTATGGCAAAGTTATATTCATAACATTCCACTCCAATGATGGAAGATATCTTGAAAGAGAAGAGAACAATACAGAAATACAGTCGTTGGTCGATAGTGACACCTTTTGATCAGAGAGAAGAACAATTAAAGACGATATGATACGACACACATTGTTTTCATTCAAGAACAAGACAAAGAAAGAGAACGAGAAAACCCTTTTCAGCTTCATTTATGGTATGATACACGTATGTACATTTACATATTTTCGCGATCAATGAGAAGATTTTACGAAAAAACAAAAAATTGCACATAAACTTGTACTCATATAAATTCCCCCCATGAAAACAAGTCTGTTGGATACCGAATCCAATTTTCATAGTCGAACGAATGAAAAAACGAATAAGATAAAGAAGAAAAAAAACCCTGAAAGAAATACCGAATATATCAACGTTTATTCCCTTTACATGACGCATGTAATATTACCTTCTTAGTTGACTATATCCATACAATGGAAGAGTTCATCCGCAAGACGATTGAACGTGCAAAACTCTCGATCAGTCAAGAATTGTCTAAAGTATCAAACAAACGAAGTGCTGATAGATCCAAATTAGATATTCTTCGTGAAGCTTTGGATCAATTACTTGAATCAGATTTATCCGATAATGATTCAATACGATTATTGAGTCGACAACTAAACCGATTTATGAATCATGACAAACAGAGTAAGTTTTGCATTGATTTGTATGATTATTTGCTTTATATATTGAAAAAACCAAACGGAAAACACGATGTCAGTGGTAATTCAAGGCATTTTCACAAAATGCTCAATTACGAGAAAGAATTAGAATTACGTGAATTACAATATCATCAGACGATACCATCACAAAAGATGTTATACGAATTTATTGATGAACACAAAGTATTTCTTCAAAAATATCTTCAACAATGTATTTGTCTTCATTCACAAATCGAAATATCAAGTTTACTAGACAATATCAATGATTTTCTTTATAACAATTATGGATTACAATACATGTCACTTTCTGAAAAAATTCAACAAAATCTCAAAGACAAACTGAAATACTTTAGAATATCTCTCGACTTCTCCAATAGAGAATTGTTCAAACGCAGCTCTCTATTTTCCACAGATATGAATTCGAACAAACCCATCAATGATAGACTGAATACCTTTTTAACTTCTGCTGAACTAAAAACGTTCGGTGCGGGTCCAGACATCAACCATGTCTTGAAATCTTACAGATGGATTGTGATTCTGGGAGATCCGGGAGATGCGAAAACTACTCTTCTCCGTTCCATTACTCGCATGTATGCTGAAGCAATGCTTATCGACGCGAAAGACATACGTTTGACGGAAAATAAAGATTCAATAATTCGTGTTCCTATTCTAATTCGAATCGGTGAATTTGCATCATGGCTTAAACAGAATCCAACGAGGAAATTAATGAATTATATCGGTAAACATACATGGTTTTCCAGAAGATATTGTGACAATGAAAACGAGTATGTTTGGAAAGAATTAATATATAATGGTCATGCTTTAATTCTTCTTGATGGACTTGATGAAATTTCTCATGTTCAAGAAAGAAGAGAAATTGTTAAAATTGTTCACGAATTTATTGATCAATACGTTAAGGATCCTTATTTTGTTTCCGCATTCGATGAACAATTATACGGTACGAATTCCTACGCCACACAATCGCCAAGTAAACCTGGTGGTAATCAAATAATTATTACAAGCCGAATTATTGGATATGATATGAATCCACTCGTTGGTACTTTTATAGAACATTACGTACTGAAGATGGATGATAAAGAAGCTAAAGAATTTGCACAAAAATGGATGTCGCAAGTTGAAAAGTTTGTAGATGAAATTTTATTGAATGAACAGATTTCTCTTGATCAACAAACAATGAAAATTTTATCGGAAAAACGGAGGAATACTCTTGAATCAATGTTCGAAAAATGTTCAGACCGATTTCTATTAAATCCTTCATTATTAAATTTACTTTGTACAATTATTTTTCGATCATCAAATGAGTTCGAACCGAAATCTCGAGTAGAAATTTACGATCGTATTGTTCAATCGGCCTTACGTTCTTGGAGAAATTACGAACCAACAATATCTGAAGATTCGTTTATGAATTTTTTAATTAATCTTTCAACTTACATTCATTTAGAATCATCATCTGGACTTATCGATACGTTTGATATAACACGATTCGCACGTTTAACTTTAAAACAACACAATGTTTATAACAATCGTGCAGAACTTCATGAATCTGCGGATGAATTAATAAAAGCTTTAGAATCTTGCATGGGAATTGTCGCTGAACGAGGTTTAGATGTGTATGGATTTGAACATTTATCATTTCAAGAATATTTTTTTGCACGATCTTTAATAAATCAAAATAAGACAACATATAATTTCATTAATAATATTGGACATCGACTTATTTTACATTCAACGAATTTTCGTTTTTATGAATCAATTCATTTAGCTCTCGGTTGGATTAGTTGGAAATGGGCATTGGATGATTATGAAAAATTATGTCAGTATCTGGTTACATCAAATGAAAATTATACTATTCCATTGGGAACACTTCTTCTCTTTGATGTTTACAATGATTTAGTAAAATTACCCTCAGAATCAATTCTTTTTACTGCACTTGATAATATATTATTTCATCCGATAGATACTGTCGTACAACAATGTTTAATACTGAATTTATTTAAGTTACCTGATGAAATTATCAAAACTTGGATGTCAACTTCTCATTTCAAGGATGAAAAGTCTCTTTTCAGATTTTGTCAATGTTTCTTAATTCAATGCAAAACATCACGTGATAAACATTCACTTGATTTTGTCGAAGAGAAAATATCTGTTATTTGTCAACAACTGTTCACAATTCGCAACGAAAATGCATCAATTGAATCCATTATTGATCAAACTATTCGAAGAATAATGTCGACAAGCTTTGCATCTCATGCGATTATCAATCGAAATCTTCGATTCGATTTTGAACAACACAAGATCGATGAATCTAACATTCATCCACTGATATTATCGGTTCTTATTGTAGTTTCTGGTGGCATCACCTTCCGTAACGTATGGCTTGAAGAAATTTGTTGGTCATCTGAATTCATATGTCGTGATTCGTCAGTCATCAAACCAATTCTAAAATATCTGATGAATAATGAAGAATCTGATTTAATTCAAATTGAAAAACTTGTCGAACAATTTGAAAACACGATCAATGAAGTTGAACAATCGAATACATCAATTGAAATTATCGACACTTTCATTGCGTTAATCTGTTTAAAAGGATTTTCAAACGTTTTTATTATTCGAAAGTATCATCAATATGAAGCATTAACTATGGCATTTCAACAAATTAAACGAGCAGCGTCTATTCTGAAAGTGTTTTTCACAAATGAACGTCTCGATTATTATGCACATGACGAATATTCATTTCGAAGTATAGTTATATCAATTATCAAAATGTTCTTTTCACAATTTCATCAAGATGCTCAATTACATGAAACTTACTCAAAAACATATCGAAATACATTGGATCAACTTGAGATTAAATGGACATCATATCTATTCAATCCATCGAATCCGCAATCACCGGACAATGACAAATACGTTCAATCTCAACTCAAATTCAGTCATTTCACAGAAAATCTTATCGAACAATCTCCACAAAATTCCGACGATGAATTCTTTCTCTTTCTTTCGTTAATACCAGAATCATTACAACAATTCTATTATTACTTATTTCTCGATCCCAATAACAAAACTGATTCATTACCACCCGTGATTCTATTAGTACAATGTTTAATATCTCTAGAAGATCTTGATATACATCATCCAAAATTTGTTCATCTCCTAACAAAATTGCAATTCAAGTGCGAAGAATATATGTTGGAAAATTATCTTCTCGTTCTTCGTTCGAACAATAATTTCGAAGAACTCATCGAAATCGAATATCAACGAATTCATCATGCAAATCAAATCAAACGAAATGACGAAAGAAATTGGAAACTATTTGCGGCATTCAGTTCTCTTATTCGACTTTTTCAAATTGAAAAACATTCCAAGAGAAACATCACATCTTCTCTCCTCAATACAATCACAAATATTATCGATCCAATTTTACAAATCATCATTTTTTCTGTCATATTAAATAAGAAAGATTCATTGGATTTGGATGAAAATCAAGTCAATCAATTCGAATTGAAAATCATTTCTTTACTGAAATGTTTTTCACCATATCTTTCATTATTAACATTAACCTTCTTAGTTCTTCAATATCACAGACGAGAAGAAATTGTCTCAATACTCTTTCCAAAATTGCTTCACATCATTGGAAATCAATTGAAAGAAAATCCAGTTCGGCAAGCCGTGTTAATTGCATTACAACAAAACCTAAATGATTCAATTGCCCCAGAGCATTTGTCCTATTCGTTCGAATTCAATTCCTCTTTACTATTTCAATACTTCACCAATACCCAATCATTTCATCCAACGAGTATTCCTGTTCTTTCATTGTTATATCTAAGAGAATTAGCATTTGATGTTCATCATTTACAATTTTATTTAAATGTTGATTTCAAAGAGAACATTTTCCCTCCAGAAGAACTCAAACAACCGTCAAATGACGAAAATATCATGACATATACGAAAGCCATATCGATTACGAACTATATGCTTCAATCGGGCAAACATAATCTTCCTCGAGTCATTGAAGATGTAGCGTGTTGTTGGGTGATTGAAGACGAAGCTTGGCCAATCATCAAAACATGGCTTCAATATCGACACGATGAAGATTTCAAATTTTTTGCACATTATGTCGCTTTACAATTATTTATTAAACATTCCGATGTTCCCGATTTAGTGAAAATCATCCACGAAATGTTTTGTATCGGTCATATATTTCATGGAAATCTTTTCTTAGAAGAAATATTCAATTCAGATGACATTGATTCACTTACGTTTCAGCAAATTGTTCAAATAGCTTATGAAAATCTTCAATCTTTTTCTGGCATTGATATTTGGATTGACCGGAAAGAAACTTTGGAATTACTTCTTCAATTAGAGCATGATCGAATTCTTGAAAATAAGAAGAAAAACTTATCGCAGATTAGAACAAAATCATTTTTGTCAATGATCAGCGGCTGTTCACGTGAATTACAAATTTATCTTAAAGATCATTTACATTCGATTATTACAGAACAAAGTGAAAATATTTCTCCAGAAGAATATGCTGCGACTGTTATGAAATGGATTGTCGAAATTCAAATGGCAAATAGTAATAACAACATCTTTTCGAGAGAGTTGTATGAATATGTGTTTACATATCTTCATGATCGTTCATTTCCTCAGATTCAAAAGGCGGTTCTTCTTGGTCTCTATTCGGTATTTAGTCATACTCTCGAGGAAAGTCACGTCTTTTTCAACATTGCCGTTGTTGATCATTTCGAGAGAATCATTCTTTCGAACAATTTCTATTCAGACAATATTCTTGCGCTTTGTTTATTGGTTTACGGCAATCATTTACGACAGTTACAATTAGACGAAATCGATTATAATGTTTCAGATGAAATTCAACTTTCACTTACTGAACTTTCGAGCTCAACATCATCATCAGAAATGTTAATACCGATTAGAGCTGGATTTTGTTTAATATTTGCTAAAAAATGGTCGATGGATTCGATTTCAATGTCAAATGTATTCGGAAACAAATGGGAAATGACGATTGAGAAAGAATACAACATACTTTTACAACAAACATTGTATGAGAGATATTATAGATACAGAGAGAATATTATTCATTTTATATCCATTCATTCTACTGAGATTCTGGAAACATTTGTTACTGAACTGAAGAATTCTTTAGAGAATAGATCTTATCTGTCGGATCCACTTCCTGATTACATCGAAATAGCAAATCAATTCACTAAAGACAATTTAGACAAATTCAAAAATGCGATGCAAAAGATTTCGATGAATGAAACAGTGCTTATGACCAGTCTATACAAATATTTTTACTATGCAAAAGAAGAATATGAATGTAAAAATATAATCAAACTTTACGGAAGATTTGGTATCATAACAAACGAATGGGTTAAAATGTTAGAAATGACTGATGTAACTGTCGATGTCGATGATAACTACACAGTATTTGATCGAGCAGTTGTTGAAGAATTACTTGGCAAATTAGAGTGGATTATGTGTTATACAAAACATGACTTGGGTTTCATTGTATTCGAGATTCTTATTAAACTGGCTAATGCTCATATTGTGTCCATATTTGAAATTCATCAGCGAATTTCAATTATGGTGAAGAAGTTTTCTGCGAACAATAACTTTCCGAGTAGGTTTCGTCACGATGAAATTTCTCATTTATTATCAAATCTTAGTTGCATTGAAAAAATACCAAGGAATTCTATTGAACCGAAACTTCTTCGTGAAAATGATATTGACAAACAATTTGAAAGAGAAGTTGAACGTCTGAAACAATTAAAATTATCATAATAAATCGAATTTTACACGCCATATTACAACTATGAATAGAAGAATTCTTGAGAACGAAAGACAAATGATGCTTCTTTATTGTACATTTAGATACAAAGAGCAACGATAAGTTGTTTTTTGCATTACTTAAGTCTCTCTGTCTCTCCATATTTTCATTATTTTTTTTTCAACAAAATCATATATAACACTGTTGATCCTGATTCTTATTTCGACAAGTGAATAAACCAATGAAAGATTCTTTTTGTTCCTTTTGTTTGGATAATGCAAATGTCATTTTCGAAGAATGCATTTTGTCACTACTTAGGCAAATTAGTCTGTTTAACATTTGGTTTATTTGTTTTTTTTGTAAAGTTATAATTTATTATTGTCTAGTGCCAAATTGTTCGATTTTTCGCCCGTTGGAACGAAAAATGGCTGTTTTCGTTGGTTTTCATTTGCGAATTGATGAACATCGGCTGTTATGTTTAGATCAACGTTCATAAACGTGATCCTCAACTTGCACCAATGCTTCTTGGGCAAGTCGTTTTATATATTTTGAACATATTGTCGTTTGTTACTAATTCTGTTTAATTTATCGGCAAATAAATCAGCTTATCGCAGTGCTCCAGAGAGTTTAGCAACGAGAGCTTTTTCGATTTATGTATTTATACACAAAATGTACAGTTTTCAACGAACAGATCCACAACAATTACCTTGAAGTAATCGAGTCAATTAAACTTAACTTATATTTTAATAAAATCATTTCAAAGCGCAAATCAATCGTATGTCTTTGTAGTTTTTCCCGTTCTTGATAAAGTGCTTTTATCGACAAAGAATCTATCGTACTTTCATCGTTTAACTTTTGACATGTCTTTTTTGAAGGATAGACATTCGTTAAGATGAGTGCTGGAAGGAGACCCTTGAGTTTTTTTTTCAAATATTAGAACTAAATGTAGAATGGATATTTTCTATTAATATATTTCAGAATCGGATAATGAAATTTCCGACGGAAACTGATGCCAGTACNATAGCCAACATATAATGAATTGCACCTGCGTCGACATACAGAAGTGATGGATAACTGAATGTAGATGCATCGTTCTTGAATGGGAATCTGTAACGAGATAAAAATCCTTGTAAGTATAATCGTTGAAGAAAAGGACAATTTTGACGAAACAAAATCATCACTAGACGATCAATAATTCCGTGATCTTCAGATTTACTATCGATGGTCAACGAAACAAGAGTCGACGAAGACAGAAGATGTTTGATTATGCTGAATGATTCATCGTATGGAACATCATAGATTAGTCGAAAATGTTGAATTTGTTTACATTTTTCGATCGGAAATTTCTAAATGTTACAAATTATTTTCATTTCATTCAACTTGGGAAGAAATTTACACGAAGTGATCTGTTGATTGACTTGGATCGTCTCAATAAGTACGACGAACGCAATGAAAGAACTTTAATGGACTGAGTAAGTTGATTTATTCGTCGATTGAGACCAGAAAATGCCTTCAAAAGATTGACGCAATCAAAATATTCGAATATTTCAAGCCAAAGTTCATTAGCTAAATCTGCAATGCATGATCGTCTTTGTCCAGATATTTTCTACAATCAGATATTAAGAAACATCAGATAGATATCCTCGGTGAAGTTCACAGTTACTTTTTGTTGCCGTCGCATGGAGAAACGAAAAAGAAAGGTATTTGTTTGCTCAGACAATGACTTCGTATGTGAATAATGCACATATTTTATAGGAGGAAAAAGCCAACATAGAATAAAGACGGGTGTTGGAAAGAAAAGAAAGTTTTTTTACGAATAACTCAATCAATCCTGTACGATATTTAACATCTTGTCAAAAGATTAACTTCAATGCTGTGTGAATAGAATCGTTGACGAAAGAAATTGTCATTGAAAGACATCAAGATGATTTCTTGTCAAAATTTTTTTTACAACAAAAAGCAGCCGTGGTGAGAAGTTTTATCAACAAACGATTTCAAAGATCTCGGTGAGAAAATGAGAGATTTTAATTATAAACAGATGTAACATGACACTTTTGGTGTTGATCTCTATATGATTGCTCTGAAGTTTGAAGAAACAAATCTATAGATTAGTTGTCAACCTTTGAAAATAATTATGCAAAATATTGTATACATCATTCCCTGTTCTGAAAGAAAGGGTTATAGCGTTCTAAAATTGGTAGCTCAAAAGCTAAAAGTTTTTGAGTTTATCCAATCCAATCAGATTGCAGCTTTTTATAAACTAAGAAAACCTTAGTGGTGCCCATCCGGAAGCGATTCACTTTAGGTAATCAAGGTCGAGGACCACGAGTCCCGGTGTTGTTTTCTCGTAAAAACTTTCTGTTCCATTTTTGCGACAAAGGATCACTTGTTTGCAAAAATAAATTTTTTTATAAGGGTTGACCGAAGGGTAATCTCAATTAAAGATCTAGAATCTGGTGTTAGTTTTCAAAAATACTAATTAGGTAATGAGCTCATTAGCTAATTAAGGGCTGTTTATAGTGATGAGTAAGGTTCGACCGAAGGGTGATCGGGGTCGAGGAACTCGAATCCTAGGTTAGTTTCTTTAAAATTTCAATTAGCTAATTACTAATTAAGTAGCGAAAAGCTTTTCGGTTGTGGAGTGAGGACAGGCTGAAGGGTCATCGATATCAAAAAAATTCAAATTTGACGTTAGTTTTTCGTTACTCAACAAGATGTGTCTTAAACCCTTCTCTTTCTAACGCAGATATTTATTTCTATATTTTCTAAAATTTTGTGTATAAGGTGGTGGATGAAACATCATTCCTAGACACCACACTGTTAAAAAAAGGAGTTTTACCAAACCAAAAAAGGATCTTCCCACCGATACACGGGAGGATCCTTTTTTGGTTAAGTAAAATGAAGGTTCCGTGGGCGTGGGTGTGTGTGGGTGGGTGAGTGAGGGTGAGTGTGGGTGGGTGAGTGTGCAAGTGTTCAGAATGAGTGGCACGAAACGTAGTTCACCCCTTTCGAACGTCCACACACCTTCACCCACCCTTTCATCGTGACACGAACGTGAGAGTAGGTTCTAGCCAGTTCAGTAGATCCATTGCGATCAACTCTGGGTAGCATGAATTTCGCCGTAATGACTTTCCCCGTGCAGTTAAAATGTTGGTTAAAAAGATATTTACTCAATTCAGATAGAGTCTTCACCCTCACCTGGTGCTGTGTGTGCGCACTAAACGTGTTAATGAGTGTAGGAACTTTTTTTAAGGAAAATAAATGGTTGTGACAGTCTATGGCGAAAATCAGTACGGCGAAATTCGCGTTTCCCCAGTTACTCGTTCTACGAGTTCCTTGGTAGTTTTGAATAAATCCTACCGAACTTGCGATTACTGTACGAAGCTATTGATATTTCTGCAGAAGCGTCTCTGAACTATTGATAGTTTTGCAAACCTATTAACAAATCATGAGTGAGCTCACGAAAACCTTGGGCGATTTTGCTAGAAATCTGGACAACCCTAAGTCAAAGTACGATATTAATGATGGTTCTGCAGCAGTTATGCACAACGCCTTTGTAGTACATGAAACTATGTACCGTTCTGTGTAATGAAATCGAAACCTTTATAGGAGCTGCTGAATTCTAGATGGTTTTATGCTAAAGGTACGGAACCGCTTCGAAGCTGGCAGTATTTTGGTTCGTTCCGTATAAAACGCACAAAACCAATACCAACTTGACTAAGGCAAAAGTGTTCGGTATTATGTGTGCGAAACCTTGCTTTTTCTTCCTGAGGTCCTAATCGTTCAGTATAAGTCGTGGGTTAGCTTTATGAACTTATACGAAGCTATGAATAGTTCTTTGTACATGAAACCGAGTCTTCAAAGACACAATTGGATGATGAAAAGTTTCGCATGTACTATACTGAACCTTCTGAAACATAAATGATATGCCATTGGTTGAGTACGAGACATGCAGAACCATGGTGAGTTTAGTAATGAGCATGCAGAACTTTTGGTTAATTTTCGGAACTTATAAAGATTCGTACATGCTATGCGAAACTCAGAGCCGATCAGTACTGAAAACACTGAACCTTTGATAGACATACGAAACCCCGCAGGGGTTTGTATTGAATGTACTGAGCTTTTAAGAATTTACAAACTCGT